TGCGGTGGCTGGGAGTGGCCACTGCACTCCAGTCTGGGCGACAGAGTGAGACTCCAACTCAAAAACAAAAAAACAAAACAAAACCAATAACTTTGCTTAAAAACAAAACAATACAAAATAAAACACACACACACACACCAGGCTACTGCCCAATCACCTTAATGACCTACCTCCACACCAAAGGAAAGGTTTAAAAAGCATTCAACCTCAAAACAGCATGGGTCACACTTCTCTGTAAGCTCCAGTCCCCTCCCCAGTCTGGGGGAGGTAGATCCCCCTTTTATCTCTCTCTCTAATCTACTTTCTAAGTAAACCGTATTTTCCAATCTAATTTCTTGTTTTGTTTTTTTTTTGAGTTGGAGTCTCACTCTGTCACCCAGACGAGTGTAGTGGCATGCTCCCGGCTACCGCAGCCTTGACCTGCTGGGCTCCAGCGATCCTTCTACCTCAGCCTTCCAAGTAGTTGGAACTATAGGCGTGCACTACCACACCCAGCTAATATTTGATTTATTGTAGAGATGAGGTCTCGCCAAGTTGCCCAGGCGGGACTCGAACTTCCAATCTAATTTCTATACAATTCTTAACATCTTACCTGCGCCACCGGCTTAACACTCAGGCCCACTGACCTAACAACCCTCCCAGACCTAACATTTTTAGAGACCTAACAATTTTTTTTTTTTTTGCGGAGGCAGGGTCTCACTATGTTGCCCAGGCTGGTCTTGAGCTACTAGGCTCAAGCAATCCTCCTGCCTGGACCTCTCAAAGTGCTGGGATTACAGGCGTGAGCCACTGTGTCCATCCTGTTTCTGACTCAGCATGGAGGTCCCTGGCAGGACGGGCCATGGCCATCCTCACTGAGCAGGGAAGAGAGCAGATGCACAGGAGGACAGCAGGAAGAGATCAGGAGGGCAGTGAGAAGGCAGCAAGGTGGCCATCTGGCAAGCACCACCTTCTGATGATGTCACCCCCTGCAGATCCCCAGAGGCACAGAAGCCAGCCAAATCTGGGGCTGGCACTAGCAGCTACACATCAGCTTCAGGGGCAGAGGGCAGCCCACCGCTTGGCCAACTGGCCTTCTGCTGGCAGGTTCTCCCCATTCAAGGCAGGGGTACAGAGTGGATTGTGCTGTCGCGCAGTGGGAGGCAGGAGGCTAAAGGGCCCGGGAAGAGGCACCAGTGGGACCCACGACTCAGGGTGGGAATACACTTCCCAACACACGCTGGCATTTGTGTGTCCTTAGGACACCCTGAGAGACAGCCATTTTGGCACTGAGGACTCGAGACCTCTAACATGTAATTTCTTAAGTGTATGATCAAGGTTGACAGCTTGCATACTGCTGGTACTGCAGTTACGTAGCTCTGGCTCTGTGCATTAACTCTGAGTTTGCTTGTTGGCTTATTTATTTATTTATTTTTGGCATGCATGCTCATGGCCACCCCAGCATTGTCCCACTGGGCTCTGGCGATTCTTCTGCCTCAGCCTTCCAGTAGCTGGAACTATAGCCGTGCGCTACCACGTCTGGCTATTTTTTATTTTATTGTAGAGACCAAGTTGTCTGGGCTGGTCTCATACTCGTGGGCTCCGGCAATCCACTCACCTCGGCCTCCCAAAGTGCTGGGATTACAGGCTGAGTCACCAAGCCTGGCCTCTACATATATTTAGATTATTAATTTAAACTAGTGTTTCAAGTCACCTTCCATAATATTTAAATTTTTTTTCTTAATTTTGAGATGGAGTTTCGCTATGTTGCCTAGCCTAGCTTCAAACTTCCAGGCTCAAGTGATCCTCCCACCTTGGCCTCCCAAAGTGCTAGGATTATAGGCATGAGCCACCAAGCCAGGCCATCTTCTATAATATATACAGTAGTATGTCAAAATGGACTTATGAAATCAGAATATTTGCTCTCTGACCTGCAGGCCAGAGTCAGGTTCTGACCTGACTTGATGTGTATAGTGCTTGATATGCAACAGGTGTTTAACAGATGTTTTTCGATTAAAAAAAAAAAACTAAACAAACAAGGTGGTCAGGCATGGTGCTTCAAGTCTGTAATCCCAGCACTTTGGGATGCCAAGGCAGGAGGATTGCTTGAGCCCAGGAATTTGAGACCAGTTTGGGCAACATAGCCAGGCATGGTGGTGTGCAGCTGTAGTCCCAGCTACTTGGGAGGTCAAGGTGGAAGGATTGCTTGAGCCTAGGAGTTTTAAGTTGCAGTGAGCTATAACCGTGCTACTGCACGCCAGCCTGGGCAAAAGTGCAAAATCATCCTGTTGCTCTTTAAAAAAACAAACAAACCAAAAAAGCCAGGCTTGGTGGCTCAGCCTGTAATCCCGCGCCTTTGGGAGGCTGAGATGAGTGGACTGCATGAGCCCGTGGGTTCGAGACCCGCCTGGGCAGCGAGACTTTATCTCTACAATAAATCAAA